GATGGATGGATGGATGGATGGATGGATGGATGGATATGGAGGCAGAGGTAGAGACAGAAATTTTCAGAGATTATCAGACACATACATACCCAACCATAAACACTTAATGACTTCCAGGTTTTGCCTGAGCCAGCAGCACAAATAAATCCCAGGGGGATTACTCATCTCCCAGCAGGAACCACTTTAGAATTTCTTTAAGTAGCAAGCTCCTGCGGCGTGTTTAAAATAGGGTTTGAATGCCAATTTTATTACATAGAGAAACAGAAGCACACACACACATGCACACAAATAAAGGTTTGAAGGTTGTACACCAAGATGTGGGAAGCCTATGTCTCCATGACAGGTGGAACTGTGTATAGTCAATGCCTGACCGAGAGGTTTGACTCTTCTGTGATGAGCATCTATTACTTCTGTAATAAGATAAAAGCAATAGAATTAAAGACAAGAATTTCATCAAAGAAAAAGGAGGACATCATTCATAAAGATAGAACTTCCAACAGTTTTCAGAACATTTATTCCATGAAGAGGCTCTCCAGGCACCCGATACTTTTCAGACCTGTCTCCAAAGTGGCTGAGGGTGGAGGCACCGAGCAGATGACTGAGGAAGGGATCTTGCCCATCTAGGGTGGGTGATGTGCCACATCCAACACCCCAAAAGATGGCATAAAGGTTGGATCTGTTTGGCTGAAGCACTGAGCAAGTGGCAGCCAGGACTCAGAGGAGGAAGGCTGTGGATGTGGGGTGTCATGGGGGCCATGGACCCATGAGGTCTGCAAAAACCTGGTCATTAGCTACTTTTATTCATTCAACAAACACACATTGATTATTACTCTGTAAACAGCCCTCTATAGGGGAAAGAGATGACAACAGCAGGGTTGCCTCCCCTAAAGGAGCTGGAGATCCAGCAGGGGGAGTGAACACGTCCACAGTTGGCTGGAACTCAGATTTGACCGTGATGAGCACAGTAATGGAGGGAAAGGGCCCCAGGGGGGGAGTAATTATAATAATTGTGACAGCATGCAGTGGAGGGACAGCAGGGGCCCATCAAACCTGGGTGGGAAAATGCGGACGTGGCATGTGAGCTGGGCCTGGAGAGACCTCCCTCCCTCGTCCTGACGTTTGGAAAGTCCTATTAGACAAGACACAGGTGGATTTGGGAGCTGCTGGTGTTCGGGCAAAACTCCACGCTTTTCCACGAGCGGCTGTCACCAGATGAGGTGGCCCCACTGCGTCTTTCTCTGAGCTGCACTGATCTGTGGAAACAAGACCCAGTGGGTCTCAGGGTGTCAGCAAAAGGCAGCCTGCATGGGGATCTCAGAGCCCACTTGACACGGATACATCTCGGGGCTGCACTGACACCCAGCATCAGCCCCAAGGAGTGGCGCCTGGGAGGCAGTGCCGCGTGAATCAGAGGGGACCTGCCATGGTGCAGACTGAGGTGGGGGGTGCCAGGTACATCACTCATCAAAAATAACAAGGAACACTCCGCTCAGATAAAACTGAAGAAAGGTCAGCGCCAGGCTTCTGCACACAGACTCACCGGGACAGAGACACGGCCGTGCGGAGGCTCTGCCAATGCCAGGCAGGCCCCGGTCTGAAGGAGGCCTTTGTTGACAGCGTAGGAAAGTGAAATTGGTCAGATAGATGAGGAATTTACTGTTCTCACCTAAATTTTATGAGGCAGGGACCAAGAAAATGATCTGTCAGGCAGGACATATGTCAGCAATTGGTTTTTATTTATGAAAGAGCCATGTGACGTTTGGCATGCTACCATGTGCATTTGCCACAAAATAGGAATCTTAAAGTGGAGAGAGAATTCGGAGGCTTTGTCCTTGCTTGTTGCTCCTGAAGTCCCCGCTTTGTGCCACCAAGAAAGACTGAAAGGGGAGATTTCACCAGGAGGCCATCTGCAATGCCCCTGGAGGTCATTACTCAGCCATTCCAATGAGGGGGCAGCTAGGGTCCCACGTCTGGGCTACTCAGGTACGGAGGAGAGGAAGATGTCACCTGTCACGTGTCATGACTGAGCAGACACTCTCTGTGCCACACAGAATGTTCCCTCCGCCCTGTCTGGCCTGACAGCTGTGGAAGCTTCTGGAGGCTGACGGGGCCGCCCCTCAGGGTGCCCACTCTGCCCTCCACTGTCCCACCTTCCTCAGCCATGTGTTCAGTCAAGGGCAGGTGCAGCGGAAGCACGCGTGGGTTGGGTGCCCAGACAATCCCCCCTCCCCGAGAAACCCTCTCCCAGTTCAGCAGCATGGTTGGGACTGGTTAGATTGCAAGTGACAGAAAGCAACTCGTGATGCCAAGGGCAGTCATGGTGGATCTGGGCTGCAAACACTGTTGCCAGGCCCTTCTCCCTGCGTTCCCCAGCTCTGCTCTCCTCGGGGCTGACGTGGGTCCTGGGCAGCCCCCTCCTGTGGCTCCCAGCTTACGTCCCACTGGTCACCAACCCGTGGAAAGAGACCACCTCTTTACCTAAAGCTGGGGCTGCCTCTCGGTGGTCTGGCTTGCGTTATGTGACACTCTGAGAACCACTCACAGAGGCCAGAAAGATGTGGCACTCCCATTGGCTGGCATGGGGCATAAGCCTGTCACTAGACCTAAGGACCGAGGGCGGGAGATGAGTGCTCCTGAGAGAGGCTGAGGGACAGTGCATAAGCTCTGATAATTATTAAATACACTATGACACTCAGCACTTACCCGCCATGCCCAACCATTTCTAGTAAACGTGGCGGGACCACACACGTGCCACACCCAGAGTACTGAATGTCGTAGCTTGGGTGAGCCCAGGTGCCGAGCCTGACGTGAAGATTTGAGCAAAGGAAGTTTGTTTGGAGACCATGAAATATCTGTAGGGGAGAGGAAAAGTGAGACAGGGGAGGGAAGGCAGCCAATAAACAGCGTTACCTGGCTCCTTTCCACCTGCATGGAGGTGAAACTGGTTCCACTGGGGAGCTCTCAGAGGCCGCAAATCACACGTCACCATTGTCCCACCAAGGGAAGAGGGGGCTGGGGTCTTTACACATCCACCCCTGTATGTCCTTCAGAACTGCTCCTGGAGCTGTACCCAGTGACAAAGGAGCCCTCAGGCAAAGAGAGGGGGGTGCTGGCTACTGAAAGTGGGGCTGACATGTCCCAAAGCACGAAGGGGACAGGATCTAGGCAGGGCCCCAGAGCGTCTGCCATCTCCGAAGACTAACAGGCTGAACTCCACTTCAGGAGGTCCTGAAGTCACACGAGACCTTCCATTTCCTCCCGGTCCATGTAGGAACGCCACTGCCACTGCGTGGAGCCCTGCACAACAGCTAACAGACGTTTCTTACAGGCACAAGGCTGAGTAAGGCCACCGAAGGAGGCATAACGTTTGGAGAATGGTATTCTTTTCCTCTGATATTATTCTTCTAAGAATTTCAAAACATTTTATAAATAACATGGTCTCTAAGCTGCCCTGAGAAGGGAAAACTGAATTTCAAGGTTTTCTTAAAAAGTCAATTTCTTTTTCAATAAAAAGATCTAAACTGGTTACATAACCTCCTGGAGACAAAGTAACTGACACATTGAGTTTTGCACTTTTAACCCAATTGTTCTGCCTTTTGATGAGATGCCGCCATAGCAGATATAGGGTTTAGCTTCCCACAGTCACCTCAGCCAGTCCCCAGAGCTCGTCCCCAAGTGTCTTTATCCCAAAGAGATAAAAACTTGGAGTTAAAGAAGGAACACAGAGAGCCGAGGCAGAGGAGTTGCTCATTACACATACGAGTCAGCCCAACAGTCGGCCATGAACCCAACAAACATGGGCACCTGGCTATTTGAGGCCATTTAACACCTGTCATCTCTGTGACCCTGTGTGACGGGGGGACATGGATCACGAGTTCCACCCCACAGACCAGGACTGAGGGGAGCTACCACTCAAGACTCTAAACCAACCAGGTCCCAGAATAAAGGGCTTTCCATGAGTCACTGGGCCCCAGATGTTTGGTTTTGCATGAATTAATGAAATTATTAGGTTGAACCATTCAAAGTTGCCATTTTTATTGGTCAAATAACAGCAAATTTGCCATTTTTATAGATCAAAATGGTTGAATGTCAGCAATTTCACATGGCTCAACATAACACAAAGCAATCTGGGAAACTGACTTTCATGTGAAAGACCATTGAAAAAAAACTCCATTATTACCAACATTTCCAATAGGAAAGCCCATTTTAACCCAACGGTAGGAAGGGCTCTGTCTCAGGATGCAGCCACTGTGATTTACAGAGCACTGGCTATGATGTCTGTGGTGCATGCTGGGAGCCAGGGGGCCATGTCATGTTGGAGTCTCCGGGGATGACTTCCCTACACTTGACCCTTCCTGGGGTCACTGCCATGGGAACCCCATGCTCCGGGGAGGGGCTTGGTCCCTGGGCCCTCCGCCAGCTCAGGAGGGACAACAGGGTGGGATGAGGTATGAAGCAGTTGTCATCATGTCCCCAGACAGGCATGGCTGAGGTCAGAGGGGCCTGCGGACGTGACCTGCCTGCGGAAACAGCCCACTGCACGGCGGAGACCAGCAAAGCAGAAACCACGAGGGAGGCACTCCTCAGATGCGTCTCACAGCAGAAAGCTGCGGGCGGGCTGAACAGAGTGATGACATAAAACCCCAAGTGTTCAGAGGCTGATTCCTTTTTATGAAAAAAACCCCATAGAACTATGTGGTTATTCTTTGTCTGCATCGAGCTCAATATTTAAACGCAGCCCTGTCTGCATCAGCCTCACAGATCATCCTCACTCACCGTGTTAGTTCTAATTGCATTATTGCTTAATTGCTGAGCAATAGAGTGTGTAATTCAGGAGCTGTAATGCCTGGGGGGCCGGTGATGATTTAACTGTTCATGCAAAATGGAGGACGGCAGCCAGAGCCCAGCCTCCCTCTCCAGCTGCCCCCTTGGACGTCTCAGCTCTCTGCACACCAGTCAGGGAGGCGGCGGGAACAAAGAGTCCTCAGATCACACCACACGCTTCCCTCAGAGCACAGCCTCGTGGAGACACGTGAAGTTCAGGAACGGCGTGTGTGCCTGTCCCTGGGCTGTGGGGCAGCAGGGATGCCCAGACGAACAGGCTGAGCCCCATCTCCTGGCTGCAGGAGGACCATCCCAGTGAGGAGAAACAGACATGTCACCAGAGCCAATCAGCGATGGAGACAAGCTGAGGTTTCTCCGTGAAGAGAAGCCTGGAGCCGTCTCTCAGAAAACGTCAGATACATAAGGAGCCTGAGGCTGGCAAAGAGCTCACCAGTCCTTGCTTCTCTGGGGTGCAATGATTTGTTGAACAAGTGGGGTGCTGAAGAAGCCGGAGTCGGGAAGGGGAGTAGGACAGAGAAGGGAGAAGGCAAACGAGGGTGTAGTTCCAGGTGACAGTTCCAGGTGACGTCCCGGACTCAGCCAGATCCCGCGGGAAGTATCGGAGCATAAGCTACACCTCAGAGCTTGGCCTGCCTCGAGGCAAAGGTGCTGGGCTTTTCTTCTCAGACGGCACTCGGCCGGTCTGCGGGCGGCTGGCTCAGCGGAGATCACCTTCTCTCCATGCTGAGGAGGAGGATGTGGGGCCCCAGAGCAGCCCACAGGAGGCTGCAGGTGCGGTCTCTCGGCAGGAAGCACACAGATACTGTGGAGAGGCGTGTGGGGGTGATGAACGTGACCCAAGACGAGCAGGGTGGGCACAGCCCTCGGTCTCTAATGTGAAGTGACCCAACCCTGGCAATGACATGTGGATGGAAGGAGGTCTGGCCCTGAAGAGCCAGGCACCGTTAGTCCCTTACCTGCTCCCTTTCCACTGGGCACGTCCTCCAACTTTGTTCTTCCTTTTCAAAATTATGTTAGCTATCTGGGGACTTGTGCACTTCTATATAAATTTTAAGATTAGCATGTTGGTTTCTACAAAAACAAAAAAACAAAAAACTCAGGTTTTGATTGAGAGTATGTTGAATCTGTAGATCAAGTTAAAGAAATCTGACATCTTACCAATGCCGAGTCTTCCGAGCCATGAACATGGTACACCTCATCCCGTTTACTTAGGGCTCTTTCATTTCTCTGAGCAGCGCTTTGTAGGTTTCAGTCTACACTATTTGCACATCTTTTGCCAGATTTATCTCAAGGTATTTCACATTTTTGATGCTAGTGTAAATTACATTATTTAAAATTTAACTTTGATTGTTGCAAGTATATACGAACACAGTGTACTTGTGCATGTTGATCTTTTTCTTACAATTTATAAACACATTTATAAGTTCTGTAGCTTTCATGTAGATTCCTGAAGATACCGTTAGCAAATAAAGATGGTTTTGCTATTCCTTTACCAATTGTGGGCTCTTTTTTTTTTCTTGTCATGTCTTATTGCACTAACTAGCACCTCCAGCACAGAAGTGAACAGAAGTGGTAACAGTGGACATCCCTGTCTTGTTACCTGTCTTACAGCAAGAGCACCTCAGCTTTCACCAGTACGTATGATGTCAGCAGAATAGAAACTCTTCAGCGAGTCGAGAAAACTTCTTTCTATTCCTAGTTTACTGAGGATTTTTAATCATGATTGGATGCTGGGTTTTATCAAATTATTGTTCTGCACCTACTAACTATATTATCTTCCTTTTTAGCCGGTTACAAATGGATTACATTGGTTTATATTCCAATGTTATGCTGCCTTGGGTGCCTGGGATCACCTCCACTTGATCATGTTTAGTTGGAGCCAATCTGCTAAAATTCTGTTAAGAATATTTGAATCCATGTTCATGAGAAATCTTAACTTGCAGTCTTCTTTTCTTATAACGTCATTTTCTGGTTTTGATTAAAGGTAATGCTGGCCTCATCGAATGAATTCACAAGTGTTTCCTTATTTTCAACTTTCCAGAAGAGTTTGGATAGAATTGGCATTATTTCTTCCCTAAACAATTGGTAGAATTCCCCCACTAAAGCCACAATAGCCTGGAGTTTTCTTTGTAGAAAGATTTTTAACTATGAATTTAATTTCTTTAGTAGATGTAGGGCTATTTGGGTTATCTACTTTTTTTCTTGAGTAAGCTTAGGTAATTCATGTCATTGAAGAAATGTAGCTGAGGGGACCACCTCTTCTGCCTCAGCATGAGGTGACCCCTCTCTGCACCTTCCAGTTGGTTTCAGACATGGAGTCACTCGTGCCTTCTTTCACACTCTCTGCGAGTCCCATTCAAGCACTGCGGAGGCCCACGGTTCTTACAGGCTGCGCTGTAAGAGCAACGGGCAGTTCCATTCCTGCTGTCCTCCCTGCCTGCGGCCTCGCTGCCACTAGCACTTGCTGTCCCTTGCTATGGAGAAGGGACAATTGCAATCAAGTGGTTCCTAACGTCAAAAAATAAATAAAGGCTAACTGGTAACAATTTGCCAAGTAACTTCAGCTCCCTTCGTCTCAATTCCTACCTCTATAACATAGAAAAAGACACTTGTCACATGAAATTCATGCGCTCATGCCACTACATCACTGCCAGGTGTTGCATTATTTACTCTGCGGGTAAGATTGTCTCTTTCCCTGATAATAACAAGGTCACTGGGCAGACAATCACTTCATAGTAAAAGAAAAAAAAAGGGCACCTCAAAACAAACAAACCGGACAGGAGTGGTGATTCGTCCCACACCTTCCCAGAAGCTGCCCGCCCGTAACAGGCCACATGTACCCACGAGTCCTGCCTCCTCTTCTTCCACCTCGGTGACGGGCCATCAATTTCTGAATGTCACCCACGTTCGCACCTCTTCCCCAGGCTCCCATAATTTCTCTCTCCTTTTAACCTCCAACTTATTAAACCACTGGACTCTGTTAACTGCTCTTTCTGGCAGGGAAGGTATTGATCAAAATCAAGTTACACTGTTTATAGAGAAAGAACCCAGCTCCTGAATGGCCGTGGCTTTTGGTACCAAGGGCTGTGGGTCTTTGAGTGGCCGGTAAAGCGGATTTTTGACAGGCTTGGAAGGGAATTACTCCAAGACTCTAGAGGCCGCCGGCCACTGATTCGGTCCTTGTGTTAGGCTGCCACCTCGTGACAGACTCCGATTCCTGCCTCGGACTGCGGACAGCTTTTAGGTCTAACACTCCAAGACCTCTCCGGAAAAAAAAAAACTAAACCAATAAATAATAAATGCCAATATAACCTGTCATAGTCCAAATGGCAAAATTAATATTAAAGCCAGCTCTTTTTCAGGCATCAAGGAACCTCATTACATAGGAAAGTAGGTTTCAGAGCAGACTTGACCTTTGTCAAAAATCCGAAGTGTGCTCTGTCATTGGCACCTCCAGCCACCTCCGCCCTCACGTTCGTCCACCACTCGCCCACCCCCACCCCTACCCTGTGTCAGATAGATGGCAGCCCCCCTATGGGAAAAGTATGGGGAATCCTTCAAAGCCAGGCGTCTTCCAAAAGCAAAGGTCAACAGGCCTCCAGGTGTGTGTTAGAGACGCATGCTCCTTCCACATTCCATGGGTCCTCGGGACCCCCCACTGAGCCCAAGACCTGAGAGAAACAGAGGAGCCACTCCAAGCTCACAAAAAGCACTGCAGTCCAGCCCAGGGCCTGAGTGCTCTGCAGCCCGGAGCTGGGTGAACGGGGGCCAGTCCCCCTGTTGCCACACTGACAGGCAGCGGGGGCCTCCCGAGTGAGGGTGGATGTGGGTCCTGAGAAACTGGAACATGATTCGGGGACCAGCCTGGAAGTGGGGTCATTTCCCAGCAGGCAACCTCCAGCGCCCCATTCTTCAGGTGCCTGAAGCCCCTCTGAGGGCTCCCAGCCACATGAAGTGGCCCTCAGGACCCGAGCACACAAAGCGCCCTCCCAGGACCTGCCCCCTCCAGCACCGGCAGCACAGGGGCTGCAGGGGGGCTGGGCACAGTCCCCATGGCTCCCCTCACTTAGAAAGCAAGACCCAGGGGCCCAGAGAAGCCTCGGGCCTCGAGGGAACTAGCATTTACCACATGATCAAACGGGAAGGGTGTGTGTGGCCTGGGGACACGTTCTCAGTAAGTATGAAAACGTTAAGTCTGAACATGGAGGCATTTGCCACCACAGGAAATACTAAAAGTATTTTTCCGCTCTAGAATTTCCTCATCTTTTCATCCATTTTGTCCATCTCTTCCTCTAAGTTATCTGATGCATTTACGATAGTACTTTACAGGCCTTCTCTTCCAGTTCAAACATACGGGTCCTCTATGGTCCTGTTCCAGTGGCCATTTTTGGTCTGGATTATGGATCACAGCTCCTGCTTCTTTGTGTGTCACAGACACTGGATGTGGCACATGACAGAAGAGGCGGGAAGACTGCGCGGCGTCTCCATCTCCTGGGCGGGTGCACCTTTTCCTGTCAGGCCGCTATGCCGAGGGCCGGAGCTTTTCACTGAAGCAGATTTTCAATACGTGGAAGTCCCTATCTGGCTTCAAACATCTCGACGGGGAGACCTGTGCCCCTCCTCCAGGCCTCTTTGCTTTCCAGCCCCGTCCCAGTGGCAGGGTGGGGTGACTGGCAGCTCGCTTCTCCCTCCCACTTTCCCGTGTGTGGGGCCAGCATGGACTCGCGCCTGTGCAAACACACAGCTCTCAGGCCTGGAGCCCGTGGCTGCCTCCCCTCAGGGGACGTCGAGCACAGGGCAGAGGCGGCGAGGGCAGTGTGGGCAGCACGCACGCCTGCCCCATGCAGCCTGCAGTGACTTCCCTGCGAACCCTTCCAGGGCCTCGGGCACTACCCCACACATCCAGGGAAGAAGGTCTCTGACGACCCCAAAGCCTCCTGTTCATGCAGACACCCTGTCATGAAACCCAAACCAAGCTTTCCTCAGTGGGTTCAGCTCAGAGTGAAACTTCATCAGGGAACTGGAAGCATCTATGACAGTTGTGTTGTAGACCCTTGGGATCAAGGCAGCCTTAGAAGAGTGACTTTTGAGGGTTGAAAGACTGAGAAACCTGGATTTCAGAAACTGGTGTTAGGTCACATGCGCCCAGTATTATAGCCCCTGCTGCTCGAAATTCCACATGGTTGGTCTTAAACTCATTTAGAGCACAGTGCTGCCTCTTGACCAGAAGGGGCTGCCACGTTGTCCTCCTGTAAGCGTCAGTCCTTTGATTCTTAGCCGGAGCACCCGATTACCCAGCAGGAGAGGGTTGGCCTGGCGGGAATGTCCCGTGTTAGCACTGGCACCTTATAGCCTGGTCCCTTCACTCTATCAGAATGGGCCGTCTCCTGTGGCACCACTGAGCTGAGGAATGACTGCGGGGGCCACCGTGTCCAGTCCCCCCACCACCGCTCCCAGCTCCCCTTCTCAATACACCACATCTGGACACGTATACAGATCAAGGGCAAAGCAGGGCCAGGGAAGCTCATAACACTGAGCCTCAGGGACTGCTTCAGCTTTGTGAGACGCAGACAATGATGGCTAGCACTTCTCACACCATACTGTCTGTGCCAGCCCTGTTTTAACATGGGCAGCCTCTCACTGAGTGCCCAAGCCACCCTGGGAAGCAGGTACTGTTGTCAATCCCATGTCACAAACAAGGCCTTCCTGTCTAAAGCAGCGGCACAGGCTTCACCCCTCTCAAACACACCAGGTTTAACCACCTAACAGAAACACAGAAGAAAGGAAAAAATTCTGTACGTATACACATGCGTACACATACAACGTGTGATCAAAACATGCCGCGAATGCTGCTGCCGCGTGCCAGCCAACGGAAAGGCAGGGACCTTCAATACGGGAAGTGGCGCGTCGAGCCCTAGTCACAGTGTGAGACAAGTTTCAACTTGTTTGGCGCAGTCGGTTGGGTGTGAGCCACGGTTGAGAGAAGGTGTGTTTTCAAGTGTGCCGTAAATCATGGCTCACAGACAACACATTAACATGAAACGGGCAGTTTCATCCTCCATCATGACAACGTTCCATGTCACACATCACTCACTTCTGGTACATGGCGATTTCTGTCAAATAAAAACATTACGGTGTGTCCTCAACCACCTTATTCATTGGACCTGGCTCCGTGTGACTTCTGGCTCTTCCCCAAAGTCAAAGAGACCATGAAAGGAAAACGTTTTGAATCGATTCAGGACATGGAGGCAGCCACGACAGTGCAACTAAAGACACTCAGGAAAGAGGGCTTCCAGGACTGCTTCAGAAAGCAGCAAGAACGATGGGTTAAGTGTGTTCAGGGCGAGGAGGGGGAGTATTTTGAGGGGGATTAATGGCAATGTGTCTTTTACTGTAATGAATTTTTTTAATTTACACATTCACCATAGTTTTTGATCACCCTTTGTATATATACACACGTGTGTATGTGTACACATATGTATGTTTACAGATATGAGCACATATTATATATAAAATAACACACCGACTTTTTTAACTTAAGAGGATTACAACTTGCACTGAAAACGAAGCCTTCGTGTTCTCATTACAGGCTTGCTGGTGTTTCTTCAGGATCATCACCATCTCTTCTACCCAAAATCTACTACAAGGGTCCTAATTTTCACACATATGCGCTTATTTAATTGCGGCTTAGCCTTCTGGGGCTTGTATACGCAACTTCTCTCCGAGTACGCAACCTCACAGCCTGAATGTCTCAACGCAGCAGAGGAAACCTGCACAGTTAGAGCAAAACACTAATTGTAGAGTCTAACGGCACACCGGTGTTCACTGTAAAACGCTTCCGAATCCTTGTATATTTGAAGATTTTCATAATAAATTGTTTGGGGAGAAGAAGGAGTCATCTGCAATGATACCATCAGGCCTCGACTTCCCACGGAAATGTCACAAAAGTCACTAGTGGGAAAACACCTGTATCCATGTTTCAAACTTGATCACTCAGAGCTATATAAAAAAATAAAAGATTAAGCACTCCGCACGCCCTAAGCGCAACCCTGCGGCTTCCGGCCTTCCCCCGCCTACCAAGCACACAGGCCGCCAGAGCGCCCAGGGACGGACGCCGCAGCAGCCGCCGTACCTGTCTCAGCAGCGGAGGCCGCGCCCGAGCGCCCGAGCGCCGGCGCCACGCTGGGTCGGCGCGCGTCGGTGACGTCACGGGGCGCCGCTCTCGAGTTCCGCGTGCCTGGGACCCCAGCTCTGCGTCCGAACGTGTCGGCCTGTCGTCTGAGCGTGCCGCGCGAGCTGGGGTACAAGGAACCTCTCCACCCCGCCGGCTTTGAGGAGAGACGCTCCGGTGGTCGAGCGCTGAAGAAAGCGGAGCGAGAGACGGCGTGAGCGACGCCTGCGGGTGTCGTCATCAGAGCGCGCCGGAAGCGGCCCGAGAATGAAGAGTAAGTGGGCTTGAGGGCCGCAGAATTGGAGAGGGATGGGGCGAAAAGGGCGGGGGGCTTGGTGCTGGCGGATGAGGAGGGCCGCTGCGGAGTCCTGCTGGCACTGCTGTGCATAGCCCCACCTCTCGCCACTGCAACAGGCCCAGAGGCCCGGACGGCCTGGTCCAGTCTCCGAGGCCGGTTCTCTGGGGGCTGCGCAGCGGTGTGTGGCGCCAGAGGAGGGCCCAAGGCCTTGGCCCGGCTTGGCCGCTGCCTCCCTGGGTAACCGTGGTCTCCCCTTCTGTAGAGTACTGATAGTGGTGCCTTCGCAGCCTGCTGCCCTGTGAAGGACCCTTGTCTGGTGTAAAGCCCCGGGGGCTTGCTGGGCAAGGACGCCGCTAACCCAAAGCCTTGGCACCGGAGCAGAGGAGAGATGTGCCCAGGCCGGGAGCGAGCCCCCAGGGCAGTGACAGGCAGCGGAGTGTAAACACCGTTACAACGGTGCGTGGGATCAGAATGTTTAGTTCCCCCTCTGCTGGTTCCTACCTATGTCACGTTAACTATGTTAAAGGATTGTTCAGAGAGTATAATGAGATAAAATATATCTAGCTTTTAACGAGGTACGTGGCAAGTAATGAGGACTCAGTAACCATTAGATGTGTGTTGTTACAAAAAGACTTCCAAGTCTAACGCGAGGCACCTGTGACAAGCGAGGCTCCAGGCCCTGTCAGTTGCTCTCCCCATCCCAAGGGAGAGCTAGACTCTGGACATAGAACGTGTAGCCACTTGGTTTGCTTTATCACGTGTTCTCGGGGAAGCACAAGGGAGCTGGGATGAAGTTGATGGAGTGTAGTGTGAACCACGTTTTCTATTCTTCTGGCCCTTAAACCAGGCCTTTGTCTTGTTCGTATTCTAGTCACACCCATACTCTGTCCCCAGGGCCACAGTTTTCTTCTTTAGACAAATTAAGTAAGAAACAGGAGTGTGGAAGTTTTTAGAGGTTGAAACCACATTGATCAATACATATTTTGAGCTTGACGAAAGACCTATTGTTATTTTATCAATGTAGGACACCCAGTTGTAGGATACATTCCAAGGTCATAGATACTAAAATGTGAAAAGTCTTTTTAAACATGTTACAGTTAATAAAATGTAAGATTCCCAACCATCTGCATCCTAGAAAGCTCTGTCCCATAACTTTTAAAGAGTTACTTTATTAGATTAATTGAACAGCTTCTCACTGCGACTCCAGGTGTGGCCTGCTGAGCCGCAGTGACATGCGAGAACCTGCTAGGAATACAGGATGTGGGAATGGGACCCAGAATCTACACTTTACTGAGAACCCAGAGATTCTTACACGCATTGCTGTTGGAGAAGCCGTTTTAAAGCACACCCTTGGGATTTCTATTATATGATGGATGTGGATGGAGGGTAGGATAAGAGGCATCCAAGAAAGTTCTGAAACTGCTCTCTGTACCACCCATCTTCTCCTATCGCTGAACAAGAATAATTCTTTTCACAGTTAAAAAAGTCTTGGCTCTTACAGCCATACCGAACAGGAGTCATTTTGTGTTTGTTTTTTACTCCCCCAGGTGTGCTCTACCATGCCCTTTCTCAGAAAGAGGCAAAAGAACTTGATGTTCAGGTAAGGTGCTTGGCAGGAAGTCCATCTCGGTGGCTTCTCAGCCTTTAGTGCTACTGTGGGGGTCGTTTTCCAGGCCTTTCTCCTCATCTTTCCAGCAGACGAGTTCAGCTCCATCAAGGTCTGTTCCCATAAGCTGGCCTCTTTTCGCATCGTGCCAAAGTCATGCGGGGTTCACTGGGACTTCCTGACCTCATGTCATTGCTCACTAAGTAGGGGACGCCAGGCTCTGCCCCCCTGAAACCTGCCCCGGTGAGCACTGTCATTTGACCTTGTCACTGTGTCCCCTTCACCCCTGAAGAGGGCAGGCAAATCACATTTCATAAGTAGAATTTATGGATATCTGGATGCTGCAAACATGATGTGTCAGTTTGGCAGACACTCCACTGCTGACTCATGATGAGGGAGATACCTCGAAATCAAGCTTTTGAAAGACTGATACACCGTTATTGGGCTTCTCCATGAAGCAGGGGCCACAATCAAATCATTGTTAGCTGACAGTGACAGTAGTGATGATCATGATTCTTGGTTAGCATCAAAGGTCCAAAGCTGAAGCTGCCTGCCCTCCTCACTGTGAACTCCGTTTAGGTTTGTGCGTCATATCTTCGTTCCCCGCCCCCCATGAGGGGAGAGCTCGATTGCTATAGACACAGGAGCCTCAGGGTGTTTGCAGCCTCCTTAGTGCAGCCGGCGTCCAGGAACTGTTCCCGCCAAGAGGCCAGAGCTCAGTAGACGGTGCTCCCTGGGCTGTGGCAGACGCAGGGCAGACGCACCTGAATGAGGGACAGACGGGGCGTCTCCAGCTAGAGAGGCGGCGATGCTTGGAGTTCTTTCAAGAATTACACACAGTTATGATGGTTTGCCTAGAAGTCCCCTCTGAGAGCCTGTGCTCAGTCACGGTCACATGATGCTGTGCTGCATGGACGAGAGAGTGAGCACGAGGGTGGGGGCAGGGACTGAGGTGTGCTGACAGCCCCTTTCCCCCAGTGATGTGGGAGCAGACTTGGGGAGTAGCCACGACAGCCACAGAGCTGGAAACGCAAGCGAAGAGGATTGCGACATGGGTGCAGTGACACAGCCCCTAGCCCTGGGGCTGGGCCCGCTCCGAGCAGCGGGGTGTGCCGTTTTCCTGAGTGTAGGTAGGAATCGATTCCTTCAAGGCCATAGCTCGGTTCCACTTAGCTCGCCTCCGTCTGTCCTTACTGATTAAATATCGCTGTCACACGTTGCTCAGTCTTTCCTCCCTGCCGGAGACCAAGGACGTCTTTTCCTCCAAATGCAGAGGTTTTCTTAATCCTCCTCAGAGTGACCTGAGGAGCAGGGAGGAAGTCAGAGTTGACGCGGCTGCCCGGTGACAGCCGTGGATGGGCATCTGGGAGCTGTGGGTGGGGGACACTCGGCGGATGAGCGGGGGTAGGTAGGCGGTCTGTGAAGGCTGCCTGTCTGCTGTGGAGTGCCGAGTGGGAGGGCCCGGCCCGCCCTGAGCCCTTTGCCGCCTTGTCCCCACGCAGCCTCCGGGGGCCCAGCGGGCAGAGGCCTTCGTGGGGGCGTTCCTGAAACGCAGCACGCTGCGCATGAGCCAGCAGGCCATCGAGGACCGGCTGCGGCGCAAGGCCGTGGTTCTGGAGTACTTCACGCGCCGGAAGCAAAAGGAGAAGAAGACAAGATGCAGAGGCCTGTCTGCCCGGCAGAGGAGGGGGCTGCGGCTCTTCGACATCAGACCAGAGCAGCAGAGGTAGGCCCGCCCTGCCACCCTCCCCGCGGGGGCCGAATCCCGGCCCGTGTGGGACTCGGCAGCCCCGCTCCGCTCAGGCTGAGGGCGCCTCTCCGCGTGCGCCACCAGGGGGCAGCCTTCCTTCACCAATTGGGAGCCGGCCTGGCTTTGGCTTTGAACAGCGTGGCTGAGACGCTCATCTGCTTCTGTTGCCGCCTTAACTGAGACCCCGCCAGAGCGAGTCTGTTGCCCATGGCAACAGGCTCTGTTTGTCTTTCAGCTTTCTTAGGCAAAGAGGAACTGGTGTTTCTGACATGTATCTCTTTATAGCTTTTAATAGCACTAGACGGAGTCACCCACTGGGGTTTTATTGCCAAAGACCGTGCTGCCCACATGTTTCCAGAGCTTCTGAAAGGGACACATCGGCCTGTGTGGGAGGGAGGGTGCGCTCCTCCCTGGCTGACGCTCCACCCCCCACCCCCCACCCCCTCGGCCACGGCTCTGCGTGTGCGTGCCTTAGGACTGTTTGTAGACTTTTGCTTCAAGATCTGTAGCCAAATAGCCTCCCACATCCCGCTAGACAAATAAAGTCTGTTGCGCTGCCCGTGGCCCCTCTGGGAAAACAGCTGGGCTTTGGGGAGGAGGGGCTGCTGCCTGCCAGGGTGCGCCTTGCTGTGTGTCCCCCCACCCCACAGAGCCCGGTTTGGGTTTGAGCGTGAGGTTCTCATTGCTCTAACCCACCAGGACAAGTGATAATGGCCCCAGAGGGGAGCCTTTGTGGTCCTCTCACCTGCCCCCTCCCTTTGGTCCCACCACTTGCTCACCCACCTTCCAGACAGACCTGTTCTCTTACACGGGGTCTTGCACAGCAACCAGCTAATCCTGTTTAATGAGGGCTTAACCTAGTTCAGCTTCCTGTAACAGAGAACCTCAGAACAGCAGTGGCTTAACCAAGATTGAAGTTTCTCATGTAAATTAACCCAGATGAGCAGCAGGCCACTCCACAGCCATCAGAGACCAGGCCGTGTGGCCCCGGGTGCATCCTTGCTGCTCCACCATCTTTCGTGGTCTCAGATGTCTGCTTGAGCTCCAGCTGCGTCTAGCCAGCTGGAAGGATGAGGTGGAAAGGGAGGCGTGCCTCCCTCTTCTCATAGAAACGTGGCCTCGGGAGGGGTGTGTCAGTGAGGAAACCGACCTGTGACAGTGAAAGCACTTGACTTGAGACGTAGAGTGCCTGCCCGGTCCCTGTGACCCCAGGTCGTCCTTGGCGTCGAGCCAAGCTCTGTACTCTGGACATTTTAACCCCAAGCTCAGCTGCCTGACTTTTCACCCCGTTCTGATTTTGCCGCAGGTACAAGCTCTTTCTCCCTCTGCATGAGCTCTGGAAGCAGTACATCCGGGACCTGTGCAACGGTCTCAAGCCAGACACGTGAGTGACATTTCTGAAGCCTTGTCCTTCGGGGCAGACCCCAAGCCTTATGACTGCTGTCCGTGCAGCTGGCCGCCCACATCTGTAGAGCCCTGTGTTACAGCATTCAGTGAGGGTTTCCATGTGCTTCGCAGGCAGCCACAGATGATCCAGGCCAAGCTGTTAAAGGCAGATCTTCACGGCGCTATTGTCTCAGGTAATTTGTTTAAGAGCGTGTGGCCATTGGATGGCCAAGCCATCACTGGGGCCACACAGCCCAGCGTCAGGGTGTCGGGCATGCCTCCTGCCACGCCGATACCCCAGGTCACCAGCGCTGGGATGGAGATGATGAGCGTCTTACTCAGTTCTGGCTGCTCTCCCTTTAGAAGCTCCCTGTGGGCCTTGGTCTCCCAAAGGGCACAGTGGCTGCTGGCACTTGCCCGCAGCCCGGAATGTTGCACAGCGAGCCCCTTTCACCCAGTGCCCTGGTTTTAAACGCCGGCTGTGGACTGGCGGCTCCCAAGTTGTCCTCCACAGCACAAACCTTTCCCCAGAACTCTTTCACGCATTCAGCTGTTCACTGAACTTGGCCACCTGGACATCCGATGGGCTTCGCAAAGTTTACATGCCCAAGCAGAGCTCTGGGCCGCTCCTCCGGTCAGCCCCGCCCCTGCGTCCCCATCACAGTCCAGATACACTATTTACCTGGTCGTTCAGGCCAAAAGCTTAGGAGGGGGTCCACCGTTCTTTTCTAATCCCCCACCCCCAGTCCTGCAGCATGTCCCAGCACACAAATCTAAGCCCCCACCATCTACCCAGGACCACAGAAGCTGCCTGTCCTCCCTGCTGACACTGCTCCTCAGGACTGTGCTCTAAAGGCCCTTCCCAGTTCCCTGGGTCCCAGGTGTAACCACACGGGCCTGCTTCCTGTCTTGCACACCAGGCTGCGCCTGCCCCAGGGCCTTTGCATTGGCTCCCTCCCTCGAGCCAGAGAAGTCTGTGTGTGCACAGACTGAGTCCTCCTCATTATTCAGAGCCTGCTCAGATATCACTTGCCTTGACGGTCTGCCATCGCTGAAGGTGACCAATCGCCATTACCCCATTCTTATTTTCGTTACACCACTGTCAGAAAATACATTGTCTGGTTTGGCGCATGTTCCCCCACCCCCCTTAGAACGTCAGCCCCATGAGAGCAGCACCAGCACGGTCTTGTTCACTGCCGTGCCCGCACCTCCCTAGGGCAGTGCCAGGCACGCAGCAGGGCCCAGGGTGCTTGTTCTGCACTGGAGCCGGGTCGGGGGAAGTGCCGGCTGCCTGTGGTGGCAGCTCACCTCGCTCGCTCCTGGGCAGCCTGTAGTGGGATCCCTTTCGGGCCAGAATCCAGGGGCCATGGGAAGACATGATGGATGGCTGTTCATTCAGATCTTGTGCGGAGACTTGGCCCATCCAGGCGGCCTGGCCGTGGGCCTCTGTGGTGCTGGACACCCATGTGTCCTCTTGACTCGCAAATCCTGCCAACCCCCATGGCTGCGGGCCCCCCAAAGGACACCTGTCAGACCACCCCAGGGCCGCCCAGGATCAGGAAGGCTGTCTTCTCAGGTGGCTGGGTCCCTGCCCTCTGGGCGCGCCTCCTTCCCCGACTGGCTCAGCCTGGCTGGCTGTGGCCCCCCAATACCACAGAGAGCTCAGTTTGAGCCTCCTTTTTCCTTTGCAGTCACCAAATCCAAATGTCCCTCCTATGTGGGTGTCACAGGGATCCTTCTGCAAGAAACAAAGCACGTTTTCAAAATTATCACCAAGGAAGACCGCCTGAAAGGTAGGTGACTGATCTGAGGCAGCGTGGGCTGTGGCCGCCTGGCCACCTCGCCAGGCCCTTCCTTGTGCCTCTGAGGGTTCGGCTTGGCCTCGAGTCAGCACACGTTCCAGGTCCCTGCTGACTCGACGTTGATGCCTGCAGAGAGTGTACCTGTCCCCTGGCCCAGGGCAGGAGGGCTGCACGGCCGTGCCTCTCAGGGGACTTTATGTAGCCAAACATGACAGGGAGGGGCTGAGGCAGCACCTGTCCCTCAGCGGTGACCCTCAGTTCCTGGAAGCAGTGCAGGCTCGTCCCCTCAATGCGCTGGAACTCGTTGCTGTAGCGGACGAGCGTGAGCAGCCGCACATCCAGACACGGCACAGCCACAGCTGGAGGTTCTTCTTCCTCGAGGCTTTGAGCTACTTTCTTGTACGGTTTCCCGTGCAGCCTCTTGTTTTAAACCTCAGGAAGCGGTCTGCACGTTTCCCCGCCGAGCAGAGTGCATGAGGCCGCCTGGAAGTGGGGTGGGAAGCCCTGTTTCTCAGTTTTCTGGGAGTCTGGCTCATAGCCTTTGACCCGGAGAGTCTGATGTCAGGTTATAATGAAAATGTGAATGCAGTGGCCTCACGGCGGGGTAACCCCTGTAAGCCTGGCGCTGTAACCTCAGTGGGCCCCCCCGCGTCCTCTTAGCTTATTTCTAATACACGCATCTTAGGAATAATACTGCATGAAAGTGAACTTCCTGCCATCAGTTTTTCCGCATCCTTTCTCCTGCTTTTTTCAGTTATCCCCAAGCTGAACTGTGTGTTCAGTGTGGAAACCGACGGCTTTATTTCCTACATTTATGGGAGCAAATTCCAGCTTCGGTCAAGTGAGAGGTCTGCAAAGAAGTTCAAAGCGAAGGGGACCACTGACCTGTGAGCTGATGCTGCCTCAGGCCGCCACTCAGGACAGCGGGCGTGGAGACACCCCCCCACCCCCCACCCCCCTCTCATGGAAGAGAGGGCCAAGCCCGTTCTGTCCAGCCAGTTAAAGCCAGAGTTAAAGCATTTAATCATCGGGGAGGAAACACCCTGTGTCGAGCAGAGAAGTTGGGGTGCAGGGTGGGGGATGGATCGTTATGGGGGTCCTTAGTTTTTATCACTCCCGTGGAGAGGAGAGACTGGCAGAAAACCCCAGACAAGCACTGCTTGACTTGAATGGTGGGGTATTGGATTGTTTCTTCTTTTTCTGTTTTCTGAGTGTTCTATGGTGAGTCTGTTGTTTACGTGATAATAAAATGCGTGTGTAGACTTGGGCTCCGCAAAGGCGCAGTTTTGTAGGACAGCCAGGTAGAGGGAGGGGCCTGAGGCTGCGCCGGGTCAGGGGTCCGCGTGTCACAAGTTCGGCGGCACGTGCATCTCTGACACGTTCCTTTAAGTCTCACTTGCTCCTGAGCTGGGACCTATAAGCGCTGCTTTGCTGTCGGAGAGAAGTGACAGGAGGTTGCTGTGTGACGGGGCTCAGTCGCTCCAGGAACTAGAACCAGGCTGGGTGCGCTGGGGACGCAGGGCTGCGCCGGGCTAGCTGTGCTCGGCAGAGGTCGTGGGGCAGCGCGCATAAGCCTGCAGCAGCCTCATTCCTGAGCTGTGGGCTGCAGCTCTTCCCAAGGCCTAACTCATGAGCAAGGCCGGGCCCCGGCAGTCACTGGGCGGACTTCTAGCTCCGTTTACACCCGGAAGGCCTGGCTCTTCCATCAGCCCCAGCCCCGTGTGGCAGTGGGCCTGCGGCCCAGGCAGACTGGCCGGGCAAGAGAATGGGGCGGGGACCAGCCTCCCAGCGTCTGGTATCAGAGCCACGTGGCTCGGAAGGACCTGTGTCCTCTTTTCCTCTGAGAAGCGAGTGTCTGCTGACCAGCCGGGTGAGGGCAGACGCATTCCTAGCAACAGAAGGGCAAGTGTCGCGTGCTTTTTCTTTCATATCAAGAGGCAGCGATGCCAAGCTTTGCTTTCTGTCTCCTCACTTGGACGCCACTCACAGGGGAGATGGGGGTGCCGACACTGACTTATGGCAGGAGAGTGCAGGCCTAGCACTGGGCTGCTGCGCCCCCCGAAGGCTCGGGGTGCACCCAAGGTCACTGACCAGCCGCCGCCCGGCTGTGCATGCTGGGCTTTGCTCGCCAGGCCAGTTCTGAGTGGCTTGGGTGCTCTCCCCAGTCTCGCCAGCGCTGCCTGTGGGGCAGAACTCATGTGCCCGCACCGCCCTGAGCTGTGGCAGCCTTATTGTGCCACGAGGAGACTTGGACTCAGAGTGCTCCCTGGCCCGGCTGGAGCTGGGGCGTGCACCCCACGGTCTGGCTCCAGAGCCGTGCTGCTGACAAGGAGACACTTCCAGAGCGTGCATGTGCCCCCTTTGTGCCCTGGGCCCCCTGAGGAAGCCTGTCCAGCCTCCATATCCAACGGCCTGTTCCTTGGCCACCCGGAAGTGCCCCATGGGTGGAGCGTGGTGCTGGGCGGGCCTCAGCCCCTCCGCCCTCGCCTGCTGTGCCATGGAAAGGCAGCCAGTGCCGGGCAAACGCACAGCTGCTTTCCAGAAAAGTTGTTGGTACTACTTGCCACGTGAAATGTTTTTCATTTGGCGCAGACTCAAGTTTCCATGAGTGGCTGTTTGGTGTGTAGACTTTGCTCGCCTCGCCCCAAGGAGACGTGGGGAGAACGCTCACCTGCCAGAAGCCGCTGCTGTGCGTGCCCATTTCTAGGACGCCCTGTTGTCCCCAGGGCCATGGACCCTGGACCCCAAGGAGCACACAGCCCTCCCAGGCAGGGCAGCGGCTCCACGTGAGCGTTGCTGATGAGGCGCACTGCCTGGGGGCCAGGTCAGGGCCTGGCGGGAGTGCAGTGCCATTGGCAGTCCAGCCCCCGCGTGCACTTGGGCGTGAAGGCCGGTGTGGGCTGCGGCGAGATCTGTCTTGTAAACCTTCGTGCCCCCGCGAGACTGCGAGCGGAGGGCTGATTAACACCTCGGGCTGGGATCTGGGGGGCTGAGGGGCCAGGAGACATCAGCCCAGTGACCCATTGCTCCCCACAGAGTGAGCGGCCCTGGGCCCTTACCCTTCCCAGCGCCAGCAGTGTGAGGAGGGGCGAAGCACCTGGAGGGGCAGGTAGGGGCACACGGGTCGCGGCCATGGCCATCAGCCTCGGGGCTGCCCGTGGGCGGCTCAAACAACCGAAATGCCTTTCTCACCATCCTGGGTCTGTGTCTGGCGGAAGCTTCTCCAGGGCCACCTTCTGCCTCTGTCCTCACATGGCCCCCTCGGCGCTCTGGGGAGAGATCAGGTGTGTCTTCCTATAAGGGCGCCAGTCCTGTGGGATCAGGGTCCCACCCATATGGCCTCGTAACCATAGTTACCTCCTTAAAGGCCTTATCTCCAAATAGAGGCTTCAGCACAGGAATCGGGGGGACGTAATTCAGTCCATAACAGCGTGGAGCTGTCCCAACCCAGACAGACCATCTGTACCCCCCACGCCCAGAAAGGCTCCCATTCCCAGCCTGGGCCCCATTCTCAGACACTGGCTTGGGCTTCCCACATCCCTGTAGGGGCTGCTCGGACCCTTAGCACCCTCACCCAGCCAGCCCCGCTGCTGGGCCCTGAGTGCCTGTCACCGCTGGGTGCCATGACGTGCTCAGACAAGAACTTAGGTCCAGCCGCTCCCTCCAGCACCAGGAGCCCTGGGATTGCCAGGTTCCCTGTCATTTCTGCAAGCAACTGAACTCCCTCGCCCTCCTTTGGGGCCAGGGACAGTCTGGTTGGGGGAGGAAGTGTTCGCACGGGTGGGCAGGGTGGGCAGGGGAGGCTTCCTGGAGGAGGGGTCTCTGGAAGAGCTTGGTCACACCTGGACTGCAGGGGCCTGCAGGGCTCTTGAGGACCGAGGAAGTCACCTGCCCCCTGGGCTCAGGGCCCGCAGGAGGAGTGGTAGGAACGGGTGGTGGGACTGGCTGTCAGTCCCAAACCTGCAGGAGACACCAGCTCAGTGGGAGGGGAGAGATGTCAGCAGCTGCTAAGGGGTTCCAACCCAGGGGCCAGGGTGTGGGGCTCTGCTGGCCCCTTCACCGTCCTGCAGTCTGGGGGCCTCTGTGTCACCAACTGTCAAGTGGGGCCAGGAGACTAGATCGGGGTTTCCTGGAGTGGGACCCTGGGTCTCCCTGCACCAGAGCCAGCAGGACGCGTGTGACAAGCAGCCAGGCCCTCCGCTGCCACCGGACTGCAGGGTTGGGGCGCAGATGGCTTCGTGTTCCTTGAGACCCAAGCTGGTTCCTCGGATCACTGATGTCTGGGGATCCTGGACTCCAGATGGTGTCTGAAGTCTTCCAGCTCTGATGTTGGGACTGTGACTTAAGACTGGGGACTCTCAGGATGGTGTTTTCTGGACGCTGGAAAAGATTGTCAAATGGCTGATGGCTCAGGCTCTGAAGAGTAAACATGAACAACCCCACCACCCACCCACCGCCTCCCAATGCCATAAATTATGGCAAAAATCTTTCTTTCTGGACAATGGCTTTAGTTCTAATTTGGCTTGCATTTCTTAGCTATAATGCCTAATTAAGACATCTGTTAAATGTCTATAATATTAATTTAATAGAGGGGGTTCTGATGGAACTGTATTGGAATTGTCCATTTAATTAGCCTCATGGGCCTTTAATGGATGTCTTAAATAGACATCATTAACAAGAGTGCTAGACAAATTAAAATTACAGTCAATAACATTCTTGGTAATTTCTCCTGAGCTGTGCAGGACAAGCTCTGCTAAGTGGACAGACGCAGATATGAGCTGGAGCACCGAGCTGGCGTCCCCAAAGGGGTCCTCCCTACTCTGTGTCCCGGTCGGCTTTGCTCAAAGACGACACTTTGCTCCAGCTCAGGAGCACACACCTACCCCTCACACACCTTTCGCAGGAAGTTACACTGAGCTCCTGGGTGAGAGTGGTGGCGAGGAGGAAGACGGAGGAGGAAATAAGGCCTCGCCCAGAGATGCTGGCTCGGTACCCATGGCCACACAGATCAGGTGGGCGGGACAGACGGGGACAGGGTGGGGCTGGCTGCGATGGCTGGGCTGGACGGAGGCGTTCTATTGCTTTTGGCCCCACCACTCCACCGAACAGCTGTCGCTTCATCTTTCTGAGGCCAGTGGTCACCTCTGTCTTATCTAAACTGGTCTCTCATCGGCATTTGACAGGGTTAAGCGTCCTCCCTCTGTGGCCTCCCCAGCCGCAGTCCCTGACCTTTCTCCCACCCCCTGGACACTCCTTCTCATGGTCCTTCCATGAACCTGCCCCCCTTCCCTGGACGCCACCCACACCCGCTCTGTAGGTGGGCTCATGCACAGCTTCAAGTACATTTAAGACTCAAGGTCAGGCCAGCAGCCCCGTGTCCTCCAACCCCAGGCCCCCATCTGTACCTTACTGTCTGCTTTCCCTGCCTCGAAGGCAGGCCCCTGGAGGACGATGTCTCTGTCACAGTGGCGGCTGTGATTTAGAAGCACACCTGACCCTCACAGGTGCTCAGCAGGTATTGTTGAGGGAATGCAAGCCACTGCCTGCCGGCACGCCCACCTGGACATCCCGCGGATCCCACCTAGAGCTAGCGACTCCCCCTCACAAACCCACCCGCTCCCGTGTGTCCAGTTACTTCAGCCAGAAGTCCAGGAGTCTCCCTCGCTGGCTTCCACACCCCATCCAACCTCTCGTTGAGTCCTGGTGGTTTCCTTTCAGTTCTTCTTGCCATCCGCTTGGCTCCAGCTCTCATCCACACACACACCCCCACCCCTGGTCATCTCACCCACAACCACAGTCCTTCACCAGCCCCCCTGCCTCCACGAGCGACCCCACCACCGCTGAGGGGCCCTTTGTGAAGCATTAACTCAGGTCATGTCGCTGTTTTCAAAACCCCAGGTCACTTCCCAGCACACTTAGAATTACCGGGGTCGTTGAGCGCCGCCCCCATGACGCAGCCGGCCTCTGACACCTCGGCCACCTCCCGGTCCTGCCTGCGCTGTTCCGCTCAGAGCTTTGCCACCTGCCACTCCTTTTGCCTGGACCTCCAACCACGAGGCCGCCTCTCCTCTGCATTCAGCCCACAGAGACTGGCCCCCACTCGGGGGCCACCCCAGTCGTAGTTCAGCAGCCCCCCACTGGCCCCTCAATCAGATGACCCCATCCTGCTCTCCCTGCACCACTTCTGGGGACCTAACAGCCACACCTGCTCGTTGACTGTCATTCCCTTCTGGAACAGAGGCTCCGTGGACGCTGGGACTCATCTGC